CTGAAGCACTTGGCTGATTCTCATTCAATTATTCATATGACAGTTGTTTGAGTTTGGTACCAACTTATTGTCCCCTTATACAGACAAGGAAACTGGGGTGCAGAAAAGTGAATTCGCTTTACAAAGTAGACATGACTAGTGACCAACGGCGCTGGGATGTGTTCGTCAGTGACTGACAGTAGAGAATTTTAAACGTTCTGGGTGCTGTGTTAGGAGCTTTGGTGGGTGTCACTCTTTTCATCCTCACAGCACCCTGTCAGGTAGTCTCATTTTGCGAGTATGGAAGCTGAGGCAGCGTGACATTAAGTAATCTACATAACTCATGGTAGTTTGTGCAGCTGGGGGACGTTCAGCCTCAGTCCCTGGCCACTTGCCCATTCTTTTCCAGCCTGATTCTTCCCCCGTGGGAAGAACCCAGCTGTAGCCCTGAGGTTCCCTTCCAAGGACAGCTCCAGGGTGGGGAATCATCGCAGGTGATTGTAGGGTTGACACCCCTATTGACTCCTTCCCAGCTGATGGTCAGACCCTTAGACCCAGCACTCCTTGGATTAGCTCTGCCGAGTGTCTTGATTGTAAGAATAACCTCACAGTACCCACATGACATGTGACTTGGAAGGAGACTCGAGGCCACACTCAGTAAATAATGGCACACTGATGTGCCCGCCCAACAACTGTGCTGAGTGAGCATGCAGCCAGAGCCTGGCTTCCTACAGTCAGGGTTTCCAGGCAGAGCAAATACCCTGAAGATTCTCTGTGATGCAGGAAATTTAGATGAAGGAAGCTGGAAGAACTACAGGGATGATGATGATGATGGTTAGAGACAGTCTCTCTCACTGTTGCCAGGCTGAAGTGCAGTGTCACGATCTCAGCTTACTGCAACTTCTGCCTCGTGGGTTCAAGTGATTCTCCTGCCTCAACCTCCCGAGTAGCTGGGACTACAGGCACAAGCCACCATGCCCAGTTGATATTTGTACTTTTAATAGAGATGAGTGTTCACCATGTGGACTAGGATGGTCTCAATCTTTTGACCTTGTGATTCGCCTGCCTCAAACTCCCAAAGTTCTGGGATCATAGGCGTGAGCCACTGCACTGGCCTACAGGGATATTTTAAATCCTGCTATGGACTCTCTCCAGAAAAGGGGTCTGTCCATCCCTGCTCGTTGGTGAACGTTAAACCCATATTCCTTTCAACTGCTGCCTGCTAGAGAAGACTGCTCCTCATTATCATCACTGTTATTGCTCACCACTGTATCCCCTCTACTTGGCATGTGCTTGTCAAGTTCTAGCTTTCAATAAATTTGTGACTGATGCTTACTCTTCACCTTGGCTTTTTCTAGACTCTGGTGTTTACTCAGCACAGTGGAGTAGTCCACACACCCACTGTACTCCCCATAGTGCCAGTTTACCTCACTGCAGCGTTTTCACAAAACCTTTATTGTATGTATTTTCTTCTGCTGTCATGATGAATCACCACAAATTTTTAGACTTAAAGCAATACAAATTTTTGGTTCACAGTTCTACAGGTCAGAAGTCCAATAGGGATCTTACCAGGCTAAGATCAAGGTGTCTGCACTGCTGGATTCTTTTCTGGAGACTCTAGAGAACAATATGTTTTCTCGTTTTTTCAGATTGCTGGCAGAATTCAGTTCCTTGGAATTACAAGACGGAGGTCCCAGGTGCTTACTGGTTACAGCTGAAGGCTGTTCCCATCTCTAGAGGCTGCTGTGATTTGGCTCCCAGCTCCCTTCTTGCATCTGCACAGCAGCAACTGTGCACTGAGGACCCGTCAATCTTTGACATTTTTCTGGTTCTTTTTCCATTGCATCTCTCTGATTCTTTTGCCTTCTACTTTTGAGAACGCCTGTGATAAGATTAAGTCCACCTAGATAACTTAGAACAATCACCATATTTTAAGGTCCATTTGAGGGGAATATTGACAATATTTGCCACTTAGAAATTTCTTCCACCAGATACCCTAAATCATCTCACTGGAGCTCAAAGTTCCACAGATCTCTAGGGCAGGGACAAAATGCCACCAGTCTTTTTTGCATAGCAAGAGTGACCTTTATTCCAGTTCCCAACAAGTTTGTCATCTCTATCTGAGACTACCTCAGCCTAGACTTCATTGTCCATATAACTATCAGCATTTGGTCAAAGTCATTCAAGTCTCTAAAGTTCCAAACTTTCCCACATTTTCCTGTCTTCTTCTGAGCCCTCCAAACTGTTCCTGCCTCTGCCTGTTACCCAGTTCCAAAGTCACTTCCACATCTTTGGGTATCCTTATAGCAGCACCCCACTCTACCCGTACTAATATACTGTACTAGTCTGTTCTCATGCTACTGAAGGACTGCCTGAGCATGGGTAATTTTTAAAGGAAAGAGGTATAATTGATTCATGCTACCATGACTGGGGATGACTCAGGAAACTTACAATCATGGCAGAAGTGGAAGCAAACATGTTCTTCTTCACATGGTAGCAGGAAGAAGAAGTGCTGAGCAAAAGAGGGGGAAATAAATGTCCCTTATAAAACCATCAGATGTTGTGAGAACTGACTATTATGAGAACAGCATGGAGGTAACTGCCCCCATGATTCAGTTACCTGCCACTAGGTCCCTTCTACGACTCATGGGCATTATCAGAACTGCAATTCAAGACGATACTTGGCTGGAGACACAGCCAAACCATATCATGTGGTTTCTTCCTAAGCCACCTGATAAGCAATCAATTCTATTCCTGCCCATAACACATATGTTTCCCACTGGTGCCGGTCAGCTTTGGCAGAGGGTGAAACTTAGCTTAGGTAGATACTTCTGGAACAAGCTGCTTCAGAAGCCCTGGGCTTTATTTCTTCAGATAAAAAATCTGAAGTCAGATCTCAGCCTGATCAGCCAATCTTTTGAATCCTTACAACCTCCTCTTGATTCTTCCAAAGAACTGCTTAGCCTTGGCTGGAATGATCAAATACTTACTATGATTTTATCCTCATTAGCCACTCAGCCTAGAATCCAATTTTAATTATACTCCAGAAGCATCAAGTGATGGGTGAGGTTGCTGTTTCAGTTTAAGGGTCAGTCCAATAGAAAAAGCGGTTCCTAGGAATGTCTTTAGTTTATTCTCATCAAAGAGCTTTCTCTGCAGATGGAACCTACTGGTTCTTCCTTCCTGGTCCTTGAACTTCTAACCTGGAGAGGTTTAATCCTGCTGCCATCTCTCTCTGGCACGCTAGTGCATAATGATTGCAGGAACTGGTCCACGCTGTGGTGGGAATGCCCTTACCCTGAGCACGTCACTCACTCACTGAACAACAGCTGAGAGCAGAGCTTGGGCCTGGGCCCTATAAGGAGAGAGGAATCACGTGCTGCAGAGGTCTGTCCTGAGGAGCAGGTACTCTAGCCACAGCAAAGACACAGTTGATGCCTGGATCACAATAATACAAGACAGGACATGAGAACAGCAGAAGATGTGGGTGTCAGAAGAGGCTGAGAACACTTCAGGCAGGAGCACTGAGCTGTGCTCGGAGGAAGTAGGCACGGAGGCTGGGTAGGATTTCAAGGGCAGAGATGGAGCAAACAACTCAAGTGAAAGGCATGGCAGGAGAAAGGGAGCGCTGGCCACAGGAAGTGCAACGTTGTGACGCAAGGCCACTGTGGGGCCTGCTAGTGTGTTAATGCAAAGCTTGGAATTGAATGGGAAGGGGATTGGAGGCCTCCAGACTAAGCATTGAGTCACTTGAGGGGAATATTCACAACCGGGAGTCAGGAAGATTATTCTGGAAGATATCTTTACAATGTCAAGATTGGAGTCTGTAAGGAAGAGATAACCTTTTGGGGAGGATTGAATGTCTTTTGGTGTCTGTGTTTGTGCAGGTGTGTGTGTGTGTGTGTGGTCCTTGGACCCAACCCCACACCTACTGGCAGAAGGAAATGGCCAACTAGAAAGTCTTTGCTCACTTCCATCTTCTTCCCCCACCAGAATGCCACCTCCCTGAGGAAAAGGGTTTTTGCGTCTCTCGCAGTATCCTCAGCACCTCTTATCCAATAGCTGTGGAATGAATGACAAGGCCTTCATAACAGCCAGGGCAACTGCTGTCTCCTTTCCTTTGCTACCCCTCCCTCTCCAGCCACGCCTGCTTCCCCCAAGCCCTTACGGGCTCCGGGCCCAACCTCCAAACCCAGCAACTTGAACAAGAGTCGTCTGGCTTTTTTTTTTTTTTTGAGACGGAGTTTCGCTGTTGTTACCCAGACTGGAGTACAATGGGCGATCTTGGCTCACCGCAACCTCCGCCTTCTGAGTTCAAGCAATTCTCCTGCCTCAGCCTCCCGAGTAGCTGGGACTACAGGCGCGCACCACCATGCCCAGCTAATTTTTTGTATTTTGAGTAGAGACGGGGTTTCACCATGTTGACCAGGATGGTCTCGATCTCTTGACCTCGTGATCCACCCGCCTCCGCCTCCCAAAGTGCTGGGATTATAGAAGTGAGCCACCGGCCCCGGCCTCGTCTGGCTTTGAAAAGAGGGCGGCTTATGCCCTCCTAATATTTCCTACCCAGCAAAATCACCGTCTACATAGAGAGGTCTCTCTTCGTGGATACCCGCAGAGCCAGCAACCTGGGGGCACACCTCGGGGAATCTCAAGGCTTGAGAGAGAAAGAGAGAGAGGAGAGAAAAAGTCACTTGCTTTCGAACAAAGAAAAGAGTAAATAAAAAGACTTGCTGCTTGAGATTTCTGATTCCGTGTATTCTACCTAGTAACTGCTGAGAAATAAGGCTCGACGCCATTGGCTGATTGACTTACACGCGACCAATCCTGGCTCGAAACTATTTAGGAAACTCTTGGGAACCTGCGGACGCCAGGAGCATCAGATTCCGGTACTGCCGTAAGTGGGAAGCGAGGACTTTTTTCTCTCTTTTGGGACTGTTTGTGTCTAGTAGTGCCTGTGCCCCTGGGCAGGTTGCAGAGAAGAAGGGCGGCTGGAGAATCGTCATTTGAGGACCAGAGGAGAAAAGAAGGCGCCACGTTAATTCTACAAGGTAGGGAGGGGAGGGGAGGCGCCGCAGCTGCGGGGCGGTAGCGGGGGAGCGGCGTCCGCTGTGGACGCGAGAGCGGGGCCTGGGAGAGGGGAGGCCCACGGTGGGGAGGCGCGGCCCCGCCTGGCTTTACCTCGCGTGGCCGGGCCTGGGTGCGGGGAGGGGAAGGGAAGGGAAGGGCGGAGGGTGTGGGAGAATCCAGCGACCACAGAAGAAAGCGGACTCTGGCCAGAGAAGTGCGTGGAGGAGGGCGGGAAACGGCCCGCTTCATCTTCGCCCCGACTGCTTATTCCATGGGATGTTTAGGGAATCCCTCTCTCGGGAGATACCTGAGCCTTCACATGCAGGGGACTCGCTGGAGTTGGGGGCCGATGAGACCTACTTGAGTGACAGGAGAGGTTGGGTCCGACCAGCACTGAGGTGCCGAGACTCCTAGGCCGATTCTCCTCTGTGACCCCAGGTCTCTGGTCCCTGCCTGCCCCGGGTGCTCATGGAACCTGCTGCTGCCCTGCCCTTCTCCCTGCCGGCCTCCCTCCTGCTCCTCCTCCTCAGCCTGTGTGCGCTGGTCTCAGGTAGGAATGTGTGCCACGTGCTGCTGTCACCTATGGGAAAGGAACGTCCACACTGCAGTCTGCAAAGGGAAAGAAGGACTGTGGGACTGTTGACTTAGCCTTTCGTTCTGAGCATGCGCACTGAGTTTCCCAGCCCTGTCCAAAAGAAGTACAGCCAGGCACAAAGGTCAAGTGCAGGTACAATAGCAAATTTTCAGAAAAATTACATTTTAACTTTAAAAAGTAAAAAACATGAAATAAATCTGTATACTATACTCTGTTTCACCCCAAATCGACAAATATGAATATGTAAATGCTTAATACACCATATTACTGACGAGATAGTCAATGTTTTGAAACTTTAAATCTTCATAATCCTGTGTGTATTTTACACTCACAGCTCCTTTCAGCTGGAACCAGCTAGTGGACAGGTGCCCTATTAACGGCGGAAGTTTACACGATTCTCAGGCACAGCGCTAGATTGGGGAATGGAGGAAAATCTCAGGGGCACAGGGTGGGCAGAGGGTGCTCAGGGTGGGCTCGGTGTTTCCTTGGTGAAGCAGAAGCACTTTTCATAGTTACTGCTCCCGAGGGTGCTGTCAACTAGCCACAGCTGCTGGTCCCCAGAAATCCCAGCCCAAGAACACCCTGTGGCCGTGGAAAGAACGTGTTTGTCCCTGGAATATCTGTTTCCTTTCCTGCCTTAGAGATGTAGTGACTGGTATCCTTGTCTGACTCTACCCCTCTGTTGAACAGCCCAGTTGACTGTGGTGGGGCCCACTGACCCCATCCTGGCCATGGTGGGAGAAAACACGACGTTACGCTGCCATCTGTCCCCCGAGAAAAATGCTGAGGACATGGAGGTGCGGTGGTTCTGGTCTCACTTCTCCCCAGCAGTGTTTGTGTATAAGGGAGGGAGAGAGAGAACAGAGGAGCAGATGGAGGAGTACCGAGGAAGAACCACCTTTGTGAGCAAGGACGTCAGCAGGGGTAGCGTGGCCCTGGTCATACACAACGTCACAGCCCAGGAGAACGGCACCTACCGCTGTTACTTCCAAGAAGGCAGGTCCTCCGATGAGGCCATCCTGCGCCTCGTGGTGGCAGGTGCGTTGCTTCCTTTTGCCTTGTTACTTTAGCACAGTGTGACTCCTGGGGACAGTTTCTCTCCTAACCTCAGGCCCATAGCAGACCAGCACAATCCTCTTTCCTGGGTCCCCTTTCCACAGGCCGATGCTTCAGGGACACTTTCCCTAAGGAAATAACATTCCAGGGAAAAATCCTTCCTCCTGCACAAGGGCCACCATGAGTAGGTTTGCCCTGCTAAGCCGTGGGCTTCACTTCTTGGGAAGTACATGCAGCACTCAGCTGAGGCCATGAGCAGGGGAATATGGTGAATTTCGGAGAAAAGTCTCATGCCTGCCTTCGTACTGAGCTGTGCACTTCTGAGAGTGAGAGGAGACTGTTAATAATTGTCCCGGGACAATTGGAATAAAGAAGGACTGACCAGAGAACTAAGACATATCAACTCTTATTTCTTGGTAAATATTAATCCTGACATCCCTCCTGAAATGCTGATGGCCGAGAGAGTGAATAATATGTAAATAGATAGGTTTATTAAAGGAAGACTTAATACAGAAGCAAAAAAAATTTTTTTTTTAGACAGAGTCTCGCTCTACTGCCCACGCTGGAGTGTAATGGCAGGATCTCGGCTCACTGCAATCTCCACCTCCCAGGTTCAAGCAGTTCTCCCTGCCTCACCCTCTTGAGTAGGTGGGATTACAGGCATGCGCCTACATGCCTGGCTAATTTTTGTATTTTCAGTAGAGATGGGATTTTGCCACTTTAGCCAGGCTGGTCTCAAACTCCTGACCTCAGGTGATCGGCCCACCTCGATCTCCCAAAGTGCTGGGGTGACAGGGGTCAGCCACCACACCCAGTCCAGAAGCAAAATTGTATTCCTGCTGACTCCACAGAGAAAGCGTAAGAATGTAGCTGTCAGGAAGTAGATAAGGTTTCCACACAGAAATGCATTTAAACTGGGATTTCTAGGAATTTGTTAAAATGACATCAAGTGACTACCTATGTCTTGGGGTTAGTTTATTATGCATTAAAAGATATTTGCGAAGACTGAAAAAGCCTTTAAGGTGCAGGATAATCTGTGGTGGCATTTCACTCCATCAGACCAGAGGAGGTGAGGGCTAGGGAATTAGCTTCTTCCCAGGGGGCCTCAAATAACAGGTAGGAGGCCCCATCTTTGCTATTCACAATGGCAGCCTTGCATCTGATTAAAACAGAATATCGTGGGAGGAGGCTTTCTCGACCCTGTGCCGTGGCAGAGTTGGTAGCAGTACTTGAGGGGTGGCCAGCGTTGGTTTCTGTGTGGCAGGAATCAGCTAATCTTTCTCTGTAAAACTGTCACTGGCCTGACCTTCCCCACTTTGAACTGGGTTGCTTAGAACTTTCTGTTTGTTTATTCTGTTCCCTTTGTTGGGTTGATTGGCTGGCTGATTTGCCTGTATTGAACCTCATGGAATGTTTTAAAGTACTTTGTTTTCTAATATGCTGAGTTATTTTAATTCTTAATCTGCTGAGCCTTTAAATGTACAAGTAGTTTTATCTCTTGATAAAAATTAAAGTGAGCCTGGGCAACATGGCAAAACCCCATCTCTTTAACAAAAAATACAAAAACATTAGCTAGGCATGGTAGCGTATGCCTGCAGTCCCAGCTACTTGGGAGGCTGAGGTGGGAGGATCACCCAAACCCAGGAAGCTCAGGCTGTGGTGAACCAAGATCACGCCACAGCACTCGAGCCCAGGAAATAGAGTGAGGCTGTGTCAAAATAATAATAATAATAATAATTAAATTGAGCCATAGCACTAGACTTCAGTTATTGGTTTAATTTCCTGTCTTTGGTAAAATTGGTTGGGAGACTTTACATAGGAATTATTGAGAAGTCTGGATGATCACACACGGCTGAAAGGTATCCCAGGATGATGCTTCTGCAGCGCTTTCTTACCTGGTGTTCACTTTTATTGAAGATTCATTTAAAGATGGATTATAGTTATTGTAGTTAGGGCGAGTGTGGATTCTTAGGATTTTTGGTGATGATCTCTGATACTGAAAATGTGGTATGGTTGTCTTAATCCCTGCATCATCCAGATCTTTCTTATTTTTTGAGACGGAGTTTCGCTCTTGTTACCCAGGCTGGAGTGCAATGGCGCCATCTCGGCTCACCGCAACCTCCGCCTCCTGGGTTCAGGCAATTCTCCTGCCTCAGCCTCCTAAGTAGCTGGGATTACAGGCACATGCCACTGTGCCCAGCTAATTTTTTGTATTTTTAGTAGAGACGGGGTTTCACCATGTTGACCAGAATGGTCTCAATCTCTTGACCTCGTGATCCACCCACCTCGGCCTCCCAAAATGCTGGGATTACAGGCTTGAGGCACCGCGCCTGGCCTCATCCAGATCTTTCTAATAAATTGATGTTCTCAGAGTACTTTAAGAAAATTGCCCTGCCTGGGCAACACAGTGAGGCTTTGTCTCTACAGAAAAGTGAAATGGTAGCCAAGCATGGTGGAACATACCTGTGATCCAGCTAGTTGGGAGGCTGAAGTGGGAGGATTTCTTGAGCACAGGAGTACAGGGCACAGTGATATTTTGCCACTGTGCTCCAGCCTGGACAACAGAGTTAAACCCTGTCTCTAAAAAAGCAAAAGGAAAATGAAAGAGGCATTGCCTAACGGATGGAGCCTCTGGGAGGTAAACAGTGTGAATTAGGAGTAGAGGTAGCTTTGCAGACCAGCATGTTGAAGCTCCTACAAACCATCACCTCCTATGGGTTAGAGAGCGGTGGTTATGTGAAGTTCTGAACTAGACAGAAGGGTGTCTTTGGTCAAAAGGTTTCTCGGGATTCTGCCCCCCTGGCAGATTTTTGTCCTTCTTGTTATTATTGTAGAGCTTCTGGAAGCTGAGGTCTGCTGAGAAGTCATCTCAGGAGCAGAAAGTAAAATCCACAAGCTGTCTATTTCAAGTTGGAGTCGACAACCCACCTTGAAGTGAGAAAGTTAGTGTGGCAGCATAAATAGAACAAGCATTTATAGCAAACAGATAGATGCTTGGTGCTTTGATGGGGCCTGCAGGTGGACCACAAAGGAAAGGGTGCAGTGTGATCCTTTCCTCTTAGAGAGCTCAGTTCATGTGGCCACTGGTCTCCTGGTGTCTCCAGCATCAGGGTGCTTTGTTCCTTAACCTCACGCTTTTTTCCTCCTTTTTCTTTCTTGCTTCCTACCTCTGTCTTTTTTTCCTTCACTTTCTCCCTTCACAGAAGAGCTGCAGTAGGTACTGACGCACCACTGCCTCTTGGCTGAGCCCAGGTATCTCTCCCCAGGACTGGGCTCTGAGCCCCTGATTGAAATGAGGGGCCACGAGGATGGGGGCATCCTGGTGGAGTGCATATCCAGAGGGTGATACCCGAAGCCCCTCATGCTGTGGAGGGACCCCTCCGGCGAGGTCGTGCCTGCCCTGAAGGAGGTCTCCACCCATGATGCAGACGGCCTCTTCATGGTCACCACAGCTGTGATCATCAGAGACAGGTCCGTGAGGAACATGTCCTGCTCTGTCAACAACGCCCTGCTCGGCCAGAAGAAAGAAAGTGTCATTTTTATTCCAGGTGAGTTCTCTGCCCTCTGAGACTCATGCAGTGCGTGGGGGTCCTCAGCACACAGAAGAGCCCAGAGCGGGCGTCGGGCAGCAGTGTGGGTGGAATGGTCCTGGGCCCTGAGGAGCTGGAGGCTGCAGCGGAGCTGAGGCCTCTCCCCTTGCCACAAAGGGAGAATCAGAGTCCCAGCACTCAGGAGTTGGGGCCTCTTCTCTGGGGGTGAACCTGGTCTTTCATTTTTCCCTGCAAGGTCCTTATGCTGCAGCAATTTTTATACATTGAAAACAACCGTAACACATGGAAAGTGGTGTGGAAGGTGAATCTGTACACTTGGTGCTCCTGTATGCTGCAGCCCTCCCTTGCTGGAAAATCCCTTCACAGTCCACTGGAAAATCCCACTCATCCTTTTTCAACAAGTGCTCAAGAAGCATATTTTATGACACTGTTCTAGAAACCAAAGGTATATCATTGAAGAAAATATATCAAGAGCTCTTCCCTCAAAAAGTGATTAAATAATTAATTAACTGTATATTCTATCAGATGGTGATGAACGTCTGTAGGAAACATTAAGCAAGGAGGGAATAGAGGGGCAGGGGCATGAGACTTTGCTGTTATGAACAGGAGGGTCAGGGAAGACGTCACCGTAAAGATGGGAGTTGATCCATCCCATCCAATGACAAGGAACCATCAGACACTTAAGGACTGAGCAACCCAGCTACAGGAAGAGCAGATGCAAAGGGCCTGGGGAAGGAACATCTCTGGCAGTTTCCAGGACCCCCAGGAGGTGATGTTGGTGTGGCTGAAATGGAGTAAGTGCAGGAAGTGAGAGCAGATGAATTCACAGAGGAATGAAAACATGTTATATATGGCATCATAAGCCACAAACAGACTTTGACTTTTAGAGTGAGTGAGATGGGAAGCACTGGAAGGTTTTGAGCAAAGGATTAACATGATCTCACTTGGGCTGCTCTGCAGAGGGCAGACTGCCGATGGTAAGGGCAGAACAAGAAGGATGGCACTGCAGTATTCCAGGTGTCAGTGATGGTGGCTTGAGGCGGGGTGCTGGCTGTGCTGACTCAGCACGGCGGGTCCTTCCCATGCTGACTCCAGATGTTTCTGGTTTGCTGCCTCTGGGCCCTGGCCTGGAAGCCACTGAGGTGTCGGCCAGCAGTGAGCCAGCATCTCTTTCACCGTCTGAGTGTTCTGAGGGAGAAACAACACAACAGGTAGCTGAGGAGCTCTTGAGATGTGCTCCTAGGGGATCTCACCCCAGATGTTCTATTCAGACTAAGTGGACATTTCTGGCTGCTTTTCAGAATCCTTCATGTCCAGCGTGTCTCCCTGTGTGGTGGTGAACGTCTGTAGGAACGTCTGTCACTCTGCTTATTCTGATGATACCCATTGCCATGTGTATCTACTGGATCAACAAACTCCAAAAGGGTAAAAGATTCTGTCAGGGGAAAAGGAGTTTGAACACGAAATGAGAGAAATTGCTACAAAGGACCTGGAGAAAGAACGTGTGGAAAAAGAGACAGAACTTCAAATAAAAGGTAAAAGAGGCTGAGTATGGTGGCTCATGGCTTGAATCCCAGCACTGTGGGAGGTTGAGGCAGGCGGATCACTTGAGCCCAAAGTTCGAGATTAACCTGAACAGTAAAGTGAGACCCTGTCTCTAATTAAAAAAGCAAAACAGCAGGAGGACAGTTCACCATTATACAAAGGACACAACTCTCCCAGGTACCATCGTGGGGAAGAGAGAGGAAACGCACAGCAGCCGCAGCAAGGGCTGGGAACTGTCACATCCTCGGAATGAATGTCTGAGAGCTTGTGTTCTTTCGTTCTGCCCGCATTGCATTCATTCACCTGGCTCCATAACGTAGTAAATGGTTGAGCAAAAGCAAGTCTAACAAGGTACTGATAGTGCTCAGCCACCGGATCGTGTGTCCTTTCTGGTTTCTGACAGGCCCTAGGCATGAGGGAAGGGAGATATTGCTGTTCATAGAAAGGAGGGTTCCTGCGTTGTTGACTCTAAACTTAGCTTCTCTTAGTTCTTCTGTTGAATTCATCATTTTGTTTGTTTTTCAGAGCAACTTCAGGAAGAACTGAGTAAGTTTAGCCTTTCCTGAACTACCGCGTGCACGATTTGTGTTCTCAGTTAGCAGCATCTCATGGCATTCACCTCTGTCTCTCCCTGCAGGATGGAGAAGAACATTCTTACATGCTGGTGAGTGCCTCTGAGTTTCCCTCAGACCTCAGCTTTCTCCCCAGTAGCCAGCTGACAGGACTCCTTAGAGGAGAAGAGCAGGGGGCCCAGGGCTAGGTGGGGACAGCAGGGAACGGGTCAGTTCATCAACAGTGTCCTAGCAATGATGCACCGCGGCTCTTCTGTCAGGGAATCCCGGCAGCTCTCAATCAACCCTACGGTTTACATCTCAGGATCCGTTCTCTTGTGGAGTAATTAATGTGTGATTGCCAGAGGCTTCCCATGTATAGTAGCCTTCCCAGGAGTTACGTTTCAGTAGTTGTTGCTGTTTGATCCTGGATCAATTTGAAAGACAACAATGTTGTCTTAGCAGTTGATATACTAGAGACAGTGGAGACTGTTCATAGTTGAAGGCCCATGTGGGGAAGAGGCTTTAAAGGTTCACAGTAAACCTGACTGAATGGTATACAAGTAGGTGGCTAGAACTGCCTTTCTGCTCCTAAGGGAGCACTGACGCTCTGTGTATAGCCTGCCAGGGGACGGGGAGCCACAAGTGAGTGGGAGAGCACAGAACCCAGTTGCCCGTTCCCAATGCACACTTCCCATCTTGTGATTCTGCCCCTCTGCCCATAAGCACCACAGGGTCCCGACTTTACCAGATACCATGGCACATGGACCTTTCCTCTTTAGGTGAATTTCAAAATTCCCACTGTCAACTTGGGACAAAATAACAAAATGTCACAAGACATGTTACCACGGGGAATAGAGGAAATCGTTGTAAACCAACAGAAAGGTAGACTGAATAAGAATAAATGCATATGGGCGAGGCCTGCAGAATGCCTGGAGTCCGGAGCATTTCTTGCACCAACAGGAAATGTACATAGGTAGGTACATTTCTTATACTTACCTACATGTTCTTTCCCCAGTTCCTTTATCCCAGTTTCTTTCCTTTCCTGTTCAACCCGCTTTTCCCCTGACAGCATTTTTTCTCCTCTTGGAGTTTGTTGATCCAGTAGCTATATAGAAGTCATACCTTCAGATATCAGACCCATGTTGTTGAAGCAAAGCTGAATGGAAATTTTTCTCCTTACCTTTGCCCACAGACCCCACATGCAGCAGGTTTTTTGCGGGGACATTGATTCTCCTTCTTTATCCTTGAAGGGTGCCTTGTCAGTCATCTAAAGCAGTTGTCATCTGGTAAAAGGCACACATAGGTCCAATGAAGAGACACTTTACCATCCAGGACAGTGTGAAGGGAAAGACACCTTAGTTGATCCATTGAGGAGAGGATGAGCGGGACATAAAGTCACTGTACTGGTTTGAGCCAGGTTGGAAAGGTTCTAAGTAAAGAAAGGCCCAGAGGTCATAGGTCTTGAGTAGAAAAGGGAACAGATCTTAGAATACTGAGAGAAGACGTGAATGATTAACTTGGGCTCCTTTCGTAAACTCTCTGGATTTCATAGTGCCTCAATTTCTCTCAGCCTAAGAGTGCTGCTTCTGTCTTTGGAGAGGTAGAAGTGCATCTTCAGAGGCCGGGTGTGGTGGCTTACACCTGTAATCCCAGCACTTTGGGAGGCTGAGATGGATGGATCACCTGGGGCCGGGAGATTGAGACCAGCCTGACCAACATGGAGAAACACTGTTTCTACTAAAAATACAAAATTAGCTGGGTGTGGTGGCGCATGCCTGTAATCGTAATCACAGCAACTTCAGGAGGCTGAGGCAAGAGAGTCGCTTGAACCCGGGAGGTGGAGGTTGCAATGAGCCAAGATTGCACCATTGTGCTCCAGCCTGAGCAACAAGAGCTAAACTCCATCTCAAAAAAAAAAGTGCAGCCTTCAGTAATTCTTAGGGTATGAGCTGCCTATGATCTGGGGGCCTTCATGGAAATGGCCCCACATGGGGATCCCCCTGCAGCTTTCTGAGACCTCTCTGGGAACCAGGAACCACACAATCCCCAGGCTTCCTGAGATCCCAGGCCTAAACCTGAGACTTCCTCTGCAGCCAATGTGTTCCTGGACCCAGACACCGCTCATTTCGAGCTCTTCCTCTCAGAAGACCGGAGAAGTGTGAGGCGGGGCCCATTCAGGCAGATCGTGCAGGACAACCCAGAGAGATTCGACAGTCAGCCCTGTGTCCTGGGCCGGGAGAGATTCGCCTCTGGGAAACATTACTGGGAGGTGGAGGTGGAAAACGTGATGGTATGGACTGTGGGGGTGTGTAGAGACAGTGTTGAGAGGAAAGGGGAGTTCCTGCTGCTTCCTGAGAATGGCTTCTGGACCCTGGAGATGTTTGGAAACCAGTACCGGGCCCTGTCCTCCCCTGAGAGGATACTCCCTTTGAAGGAGTCCCTTTGCCGGGTGGGCGTCTTCCTGGACTATGAAGCTGGAGACGTCTCCTTCTACAACATGAGGGACAGATCACACATCTACACATGCCCCCGTTCAGTCTTCTCCAGGCCTATGAGGCCCTTCTTCAGGTTAGGGTCTGATGACAGCCCCATCTTCATCTGCCCCGCACTCACAGGAGCCGATGGGGTCACGGTGCCTGAAGAGGGCCTGACACTTCACAGGGCAAGGACCCACCACAGCCCACAGGATCAATTCCCTGGTCTCACAGCCATGTAGACGAGCCCTGGCCATCTCAGCAGCCACCGCACAACGCCCCTGGTGGAAGACACGCCCTCCCCGCTCTGGTCACATAAGAGAACATCTTCCAGCTGCCTGTTTCACACCCCCTGCAGGCCTCAGCCCCTGTTCACCTCCTCACGAGGCTGTGGCTTTAGCAGTTCATTTCCTTGTAACTGTGGGGCGGGATCCAGGCCTAGTGAGCTAGTTGCTACACAGCTCCCAGCCAGGAAGAAAGTGTGAGAAGCTGATTGGCAGCGAACCTGCTGTTTAGCATCAGGGTGACGACATTGAGCCCAGTATGCCAGTTGGCACCAGATGCTGTGGACCTGGAATGAAGCCAACAGGGTTGGCCAGGATGTGGGAGAAGAGAGGAATCCACACGACCACCGGAGGGTAGAGGGAACCAGATATCCAGGTCAGAGCTAGAGGAAGTGGAACCAGCGAGCTGGGAGGGACCAAGGCTGTGAGGGTGGCTGAGTCCCACCATAACAGCTGAGGGGTCCCAGGAGATGATGGCTCATTTCCACCCAGCCCCAGGGTTTCCAGAGCACACACCCACAGGCCTGGACCTGGGATGAAGATGAATGAAGAACATGGACATGTGGCTGTGGTTGGGCTCAGGGGCCCCTGCAGTAAACAAGGAGTCAGTACTCTGTCCTCGAGTGTGGTTGAGATTTGAGGTCCTGGTGGAGCGGGGCAGTCCTGGACCAGAACTACCTCAGCGTTCCGGTTCAGTGGGGGCACCAGTGACTTCACACTTCCTGGGCTCATTGTGTCTTTAGACACTTAAGAATGTTTAGGGCCTTGAGGGGCTTTTGTTTATTTGGGTTGATATTTGTTAATATTTATGGGATTTGAGATTGAAACAGAAAATGTTAAAGTGTTATTTACTAATTCATGTTAAAATAGTGTGAATGAACCTATTACAAGTTAATATAAGATGTTTTATGAAAAAATCAACTATTGTGTGCAAAAAAAGAACAAAAAGTATAACATTGATTAACTTTTTCCAAATTGAATGTCTGACTTAATAGAAGATGTTTGTATTCCCATGTCTGCTTTCGTATTAAATCAATTGGTATATCATAGGTTATATAGGCTCCAAAAAAACCTTACTGTACCCTCCTGAAAGAGATGAAAACAATAAATGTTTTGTGATGATGATGATGATGATGCAAATATATTAACCTTGGAAACTCCATAACAGTGTATCAGAGTTCTCCCTGGGAATCCCCAGACCACATTTGGAAATAACATAGTGGATCCTGGAAGTGAATCCATGTGCTGGTTAATTTCAGGAGTCATCTCAACTGGACTAAGGAATACCTGGACAACTGATACAACATTATTTCTGGGTGTGTCTGTGAGTGTTTCCAGAAGAGATTGGCATGTGAGTCAGTGGGAAATTTTCCCCTCCTATTGACTGGGAGCCCAGTATCACACAAAGGCAGAGGAAAGGCAAATTCTCCTCTCTCTGGAGCTGAAACATTCTTCTTCTGCCTTTGGACATCAGAACTCCTGGCTCTTCGGCCTTTGAACTTCGGGACTTGGACCTGGAAGCCCTGACTTCTCAGGCCTTTTGCTCTAGACTGAGATTTACACAGTCGGCTTCCCTAGTTCTGATGCTTTCAGACTTAAACTAAGCTGTCCTACCAGCATCCCAGGGTCTCCAGCCTACAGATGAGCTGTCGTGGGATTTCTCAGCTTTCATAATCGCATGAGCCAATTTCCCTAATAAACGCCTGTTCATACACAGACACACACACACACACAATATTGGTTTTGTCTCTCTAGAGAACCCTAATTAATAGAATAAGGTATCTAAAATTCTGGCTTTAATGGTAGTATTTTAGGTTTGAGACAATTCAATAATCCAACAGGACGGAAAAGTCTTTAGTCCAAAATCGTATTACTGCAGTTACAAATAGATACATTATTGAAAGAATCCAGAGTGATTCTTTCAACCTTTGGGGTTGAGGGCCAGATCATATATGGCTGTGAAGGTCATCATGTCGACCTGGGCTTTACCTCTGAGAGGGGAGCCACCAGAAGGTTTGGCAGGAAAAGGACTGGACTTACTTCAGATGCTAGACCAAGATGGGCTGTGGGTAGGGATGGTGGACAGAAACCTGAACACCCTGGTGGGAGCTGCCACATGGATCCAGAGGGCAGCTGCCAATGAGTTGCACCAGAGAGGAGCCATGAAACCATCTGTTGCTGGATTTATTTTCAAGACAGAGAAAAAGGCTTTGCTGATAAATGTGGGGTGTGAAAAAGGAGGGCATCAAGGATGACCTCAAGTTTTGGGTCCTAAGAAACTAGAGGCATGAGCCACCGTGCCAGGCCCACACATTTATTATTGTCCTGCCTACTCTGCATCTCCACAGGGATTTCTAGTAAGCTCCTCAACCTGAATATATCCAAACCTGAGCTTGGATTCTACGCTGGCTCCTCTCCTGGCCTCCAAAATCCACTTCTCCCTCAGTTTCCTCACCTCGGTGGATGTTGTCTTCAGGGCAGGTGGATTTAGGAGCCATCAATGCAGGGCTCAGAATGGAGCCTTTCAGAATGGAAGACAGTGAAATCCATTGAGGGTTAATACATGCAGGTGCTGTGCTAACTCTTAAATAACTTACAGAGCAGGTCTCATTTCCATTCTGCAGACACAGAAACAGAGGCTTTGAGTAATTCGTTAACTGGTTTTGGGTTCCAGGGCTAATGAGTTGTGGATGGCAACACATGAAGATAGAAAAAAAATGCCTAGAGTCAGTAGATAGTGAGCCAGCCTGCCTGGGACATGCTGACAGATAGCTAGATTTAGCATAAAGAAAATTTGTGTCCATGAGAGTTCCCGATGGCAACAAGAGGTGAGATAACCGTGAGAAATGGATATTTCTTGATGAGACTAAATAAAGGAGATGGGTTTCTGGCCATTTGCCACACCTGTTACATGCAGGACACTGCACTAGGTGTTGTGAAAAACAGAAGATAGGATCGGGCTAAGTGCACCGTGCACTCAGCGTACGTTCTTGTGACTTACTCTTTTTGATACACTGTTGTAAACAAACTGCATGTATTAATCATTCCATCCTCACAACGGCAACCCTAAAACCAAGTACTATTACTGTTGTTATTTTACAGATAGGGAAACGAGCACAGACAGGGTAGGTGCCTGGCCCCAGGTCACGCAGGCCTCCTGGCTTCAGAATTGCTGCTCTTAGCCAGTTCATTGTGCAATCTCTGCTCACTAATGTTGAATTTCAGCAGCTGAGACCTACTAGATGGTAAGTTCTTAATTAAAACTCTGTTGAATCATTGAATTCATTTCTGCCCCATTTCACATCCATTTCTTTCCCAGAGTTCTATATAAAGGACTGCATGAGAAATGGACCCAGGAGCCTCATACTACAGAAACTACAAAGTTCAAGATACAAAGTGTTGGGCTCCGAAACTCCTAATCTGAACTTAGCACCTCAGCCGCTTCTCTGTGTCAGAGTGACTTGGGTCCTGCAGGTAAGGGTGGGGTGATGGTTCTCACTGATACAATTTCAAGCCACACACCTACTGATAGACTGTGAATTTAAAAATAAATGAACAATTAAATAAGGATGATGGATGGATATGGAATGAACAGTGGTATGGATTATAATAAAGTAGGAAAGTTTAGTAAAATATTAACTATCACTACACTACATGGTAGAGACATTGGTAGACACTGAAAATTCTTTCACCTTTGCTTTGTGTTTTAGAAGTTTTATGATAAAATGTTGGGAAGGAAAAGGAGGGAGGGAAAATTTGTGTTATTCTGCTCATAACAGAGACCAGAAATACCGCTGGCTTAAACAAAACGAGGGTTTTCTTTTGTTATTTTCTTTTGTAAAATGAATTTAGATAGTGACAGCCCAGGGCTGATCTGGCAGCTCAGAGATGTCATTCAGGCCCCAGCCTGCTTCTGACTTCATTCTCTGCTGTCTCTCAATGCGGCTTCCAACCTCAAGGTTGCCTCGTCGTCCTAGGAAGATGGCTGCACCTCCGTTTCAAGAGTCTACATCCTAGGCAAGAGGAAGAAGGAAGTACATAGAGAGTATCCTCACACTCCCAGCGATTTTGGCCTCCCTATTGAAGGATCTCTGGGAGAAGCACAAGCCCACAACTTTCACCTACAAACTATTGCTTACAAGTTAGTCCCTTGGTCTCAGTATCTACAAGATAGAAGAGCATTTTGCAGTAGTCAAGAAAATTAGGCCTTATCAGCAGGAAGAAAGAGGGAATGTGTGATGCAGAAATGACCATCCTTCTCAACCAGATACCACACAGCCTAAATTCAGGCTGTTACAATATAATCAAATTCCATCAGCCCAGTCACATCTTAGCTTTAGGAGCTCTGATCACTGACTTGCAAATCCAAAAGTGTGTTTTGTGATCCTAGGCCACAGGAAGAACCAGTTTGTCCCACAGACCTCTTACAGAGATGGCATTCACAGTATATCGAGAGTCCAGCTTCAGAGAATACGTACTCCACTGGCAGCACGAAGAAGAAATACACAGGAAAATGCAATATCGCACAAAGCAGCACCTGAGGACAAATGAGGACGCTCAGAAACATGCGCACTGAAAATGTCCTGAAAAGGGTTAAACATGTCAAGCAGCACTGCCTCTGGGAACCAGAAAATTACACTGTTTTATAACAGAGCCTGAGCCTGGATGCTGGCGCTTAAAAATGTGCATTGTGTGTACTTTTCCTTCCATTTACACATTTTTTGACTCTGTGGTAAAATGTCCTTCTCCTCCATGTACCCATATTCATGCAAGCAAACGTTACCAGACTGCCACCGTAGCATTTTAGTTAGTGCACAGCCTTCTCTGTTCACCACAGTATAAGCTTCTCCCATTTTATTCTGCTCATATTTCTATTACGATAAAAGACTTAAGCCAAGTAAATATGTAGAAATACATACATACATACATGTACACGCAAGAATGATTCAAACAGATAAACACAGAGAAACACAAACCCTGAGGGAAGTGGGGCTGGAAATTTTCTTCAATCTGTACAATGTACTTTCAGTTTTCATTTCAATCTTCCTCAGTGGTTTCCACCGAGCAACTGATGAGAAACATCACATCTGAGCCAATCAAAAAACTAACTTCCAAAAAGATTGTTCCAGTTCCTCATGGTGACCAGCCAGCCTCTGCCTCCTTTTTCCTCTCTTCCAAATGGGAGACTCAACCATAATAGAAAGAATGGAGACCTATTAACTGCCTTTCTTCAGTGGGCTGTGATTTTCAGAAGTGAATGCTAAGAGGTAAGTGGGGGCTGTTGATTGGAGCCTGGGCCACAATGCCTGGGAGGACAGGTGCTGAATTGCTGAGAGTTATGAGTAGGCATGCAGGGAGAGTACTCAGCCCCGAGAAAGGGGTGCAGTGCCTGTGGGGTGTGTGTGTGTGTGTGTGTGTAGTACTCAGCCCCGAGAAAGGGGTGCAGTGCCTGTGGGGTGTCTGTGTGTGTGTGTGTGTAGTACTCAGCCCCGAGAAAGGGGTGCAGTGCCTGTGGGGTGTCTGTGTGTGTGTGTGTGTAGTACTCAGCCCCGAGAAAGGGGTGCAGTGCCTGTGGGGTGTCTGTGTGTGTGTGTGTGTGTGTGTGTGTGTGTAGTACTCAGCCCAGAGAAAGGGGTGCAGTGCCTGTGGGGTGTCTGTGTGTGTGTGTGTGTGTGTGTAGTACTCAGCCCAGAGAAAGGGGTGCAGTGCCTGTGGGGTGTGTGTGTGTGTGTGTGTGTGTGTGTAGTACTCAGCCCAGAGAAAGGGGTGCAGTGCCTGTGGGGTGTCTGTGTGTGTGTGTGTAGTACTCAGCCCCGAGAAAGGGGTGCAGTGCCTGTGGGGTGTCTGTGTGTGTGTGTGTGTGTGTGTGTAGTACTCAGCCCAGAGAAAGGGGTGCAGTGCCTGTGGGGTGTGTGTGTGTGTGTGTGTGTGTGTGTGTGTGTAGTACTCAGCCCAGAGAAAGGGGTGCAGTGCCTGTGGGGTGTCTGTGTGTGTGTGTGTGTGTGTGTAGTACTCAGCCCAGAGAAAGGGGTGCAGTGCCTGTGGGGTGTCTGTGTGTGTGTGTGTGTGTGTGTGTGTGTGTGTGTGTAGTACTCAGCCCAGAGAAAGGGGTACAGTGCCTGTGGGGTGTCTGTGTGTGTGTGTGTGTGTGTGTGTGTGTGTAGTACTCAGCCCAGAGAAAGAGGTGCGATGCCTGTGTGTGTGTGTGTGTGTGCGCGCGTGTGTGTGTGTGCGCGTGTGTGTGTGTGTAGTACTCAGCCCAGAGAAAGGGGTGCAGTGCCTGTGGGGTGTCTGTGTGTGTGTGTGTGTGTCTGTGTAGTACTCAGCCCAGAGAAAGAGGTGCGATGCCTGTGTGTGTGTGTGCGCGTGCGTGTGTGTGTGTGTATGGGCACTGATGCACACATGTAGGCACTCGGGGAGAGGCAGGAAGTGCAAACAATAAAAACCTTCAGAAGCTGGGATTTGGTGGAAGGAAAGGGTGACAACGTGAATAAAGAAATATTCCAACTGCATGTTCTTAAGAACTTATTGTGGTCAGAAAAGGGCAAAAAAATCTCTAAAATCTGTTCTGACCAACTGAAGCCATCTATTCTAAGACACTCTAAAAAGAGAAGCGCCTTATAGATTCATACGTTAATTTGTTCGTTACAGAAATATTTATGGTATAGACAAATGTGAGCCAGCATACATATACAGCAGGTGGGAGATAGACAAACAATGCATGGTTTAATCATAGAAGACATTCCCATGATGCCTTTAGGAATTGCGTTTTTAACAAAGGGCAGTTATTTATATTTTAGCAGCATTAGAGCCATACATTAAAACTTCTTTTGTATCTTTTAGGAACAGCATCTTCTTCTGCTTCCATTCATCATTTCCCCAAAACCTAACCTATGTGTTCCAGTGGATACAATCTGTTTCAATGTATGAATATTTAATCATTTCTTAGTACTTCCCTAGTTTTGGCTATTCAATTATCTACGTTTGGCTACTGTAGATTTTATCATATTTCACAGCCTCAAACATAATTTTTTTGTCTTAATCTCAGACTTACTTTGCCTTCAACAGTAATTCCTGTAAGTGTAACTTTTGGGTAAAGCATACAACCTTTTTAAAGAATAGACAGCAGTTCCTTAGTAGAGTATACAACTTTTTAAAGATGCTTGCTGTATATATGACCAAAATGCTTTGAGAAATACTTCTATTTCTACTACCAAAGTATATGATTACTAGTACAGATTTTTAATTTTATTGGTTGACTGACTTGTAGAAATGGGGTCTCATTGTGTTGCCCAGGCTGGTCTTAAACTCCTGGACTCAAGGTGTCCTCCCACCTCAACCTCCCAATTGTTAGGATTGCAGGCATGAGCCACTACTTAAACTTGTTTACCTTTATGCTTTTCTTCATTTGCAATATTGACTATAATCAGAAAGAAAAAAATAAACATCCTGTAAAAAGAATGAAAACATAAGTCTCTAAGGAGAGCAGAGAAATTGTGAACTCTGAAACCAATGGTAGTAAAAATGATATCCCCTCTATAGCAACATAAAGAGCAGTTTTGAGGAACAGAAGATGTGGTGAAATGCAGGGTTTAGTCTGGGTTGATGCAAGATCCAGGTGGGGGTGGAGGACGGCGGGCTGCACAGACCTCTGTTTCCTTGTTTCCTCTACATCCCTCCACACCTCCGTCTGCAGACCTTGTTCTCAGAGGCCATCCCCAGACCCACAGCAGCAGGTGTTAGGGCTGCAGGCCTCATGCGCCTTTGCTTTGGGAGAAACTGTTGAGAAGTTAGTATTTCCTGAGCAGCTAATATGCTCCAGTCAGTATTGTCACATAATAATTACTGTTAAGTAATACGTGAAAATATTTAAATTTAAAGCACTTCAATATTTGTAACGTAAAGGGAGCAAAAGGCCAAAGTGTCCTTTCACCCACTAACCTCCGACCTTCAGTTCAGCGTGCATCTTTTCGGGCTTTTTCAGGCATGTGCATCTGTGACTGTGAGGAAATGTACAGCTTTGCTTTTGTTTTTCAACCGAATCATTGGTGCAGTTCTGCAAGGTGCTTTTTGGTCGCTTAGTGATGTCCATGGTCTAGGTTCATGACAATAAATCAGCTCTTTTCACCGGCTGCACTGAATTCCCTCCGAAGGAGGAGTCATCGTTCCCCTAAGCAGTCTCTGCTGGGTGCCTGGCCCAGCTGGTTATGACTTTTATATTCAAAATAGTGCTGCAGTGTCATTCCCACAGAGGCATCTCCCTGCACCCATGCAAGTACTTTGCTAGACTAAACATCAGAAAGTGGAATTTCTGGACCAATTGTGCACATTCTAAATTGTTGGGATCCGGCACGTCTGCCAGGGGGCTACCGACCTGCGGGAGTCCCCAAGACCGCCAACGTAGATGACTCCTTCAACCTGAGGGAGAGAGTGTGCGGAAGTGAAAGAAAAAAGTAAAGCGGAGTCTGGAGGTCTGCGTAACTTATGGTCAAAACGCAGCAAGTTTATTCTTGTGGGTTACAGCTTTTATACCTTTTTTCTTGTTACATTTACTTTATCTCAGCAGAAAAGGGGTAAACAGAAAGAAAACAGAAACTCCATAAAAATAGTGATCAGGGGCTTGTGATAACCATTCACAAAGCAGTTTGAGGGGGCTTGTGATAATAGTTTACAAAGCAGTTTATGTTTTTCCCCTCAAAGATACACAGTGCAAGCAAACAATGGCGCCCTTGAGGTGGCTTGTTAATCCTGTTTTCCATCAGGAGGTAGAACAAAGGCTTAGCTCCAGGGAAAATATGGGCAGGGGTCTCTTGTCCCTCTTAGGCATCTCAATTGCAGCAAGTTTATATCTTACACAGAGACTGATGGGGACATTAAAGCAGACAGCACAATGTCCTCATAAACCGCAGACCTTTGCTTTGCATTCTGTTTATGCCTCAGTGACTCAGCCCGCAAACTTTGTCTCAGCTCGACAGCCCTCAAGAGGGGAGAGTGCAGATAGGTCCAGCAGCCAAGATGGGGCGAGTCACGCTAACCGTCTCAAGCTTTTGGCACGAACACTGCACATCTCCCGGTTTTTTACTTTGCAAATGAAGTGCAAACACCTTCAGTTGCATCTCTCGGAGGGTGGAGAATACGAGACAGAAGACACATGGCAGGCACATTAGCAACATAAGAACACAAGCAGCAATGGCAAGCAGAGATGAAAAGGAAAGGAGATGAAATTGATTTATCCAAGAGGACATGGCATCAACAAAACTGTGAGCAATAAAATCATCATCAGGTAATTGTGACCAAGAAAGGCCAATGGCCGAAATTTCTTGCTGCAAACGTGAGATGTCAAGAGAGAGACTGTTATGAGACCAGATGCCCTGTAAATGGGCCTTAATAAGTGGCCACTGCCACTGGGAACCATTGTAGGGAGCGCTGGTAACACATATATATTTATAATGAGCATGACATCTAAGTGAAAGTTGATTATGTAAGTTATACACTTTGTCCCCTAAGATGGTTACAGTTTGTTCTAAGGCATTCAGTTTAGCTTCTAATTTATCATCAATAGACATTTGAGTTTCCATAGCAATAGAAACATTTTTTGTCAAGTGATTCACATATACAGCAGTATTAAGGATTTAGAAAGACTAACAGCAGCTGTAGCTGTAGAAGCTATCACGGACACAATGGCTATAATTCCAGCAATGAGTATACCAAGGAAGCATTTTTGATGCTGAAGGAGCAGAGATTGGGTTTTGTAAAACAGAGAGTATGAATGTTCATCATACCAAGGACCTGGGATATTTACAGGAAGCATAACATAAGGGTGTTGATGAACAACAAGAATTGTGTCAACAGGGAACATAGAGGCATCAATACAATTTGTGAGTAGGCAATTCAAGCAGGAAATAGTATAGTGACCATTTTGAACCTGAAAAGATACTGGCCCAAGTAGAAGGGCATAGGGAGCAGCTACGCATGAACGTATGGAGAAGGTTTGTACAGGCATATCAACATTACTTCCGTGGCCTGCGTAAATTGTAGGAGGATGAATAGCTAGGAAAAGCCTCCATAGAGAGGAATAGGTTTTGCCAGAGGCTGTGGTATATAGGGGAGTATTCCGTGCTCGGGGGGACTCATATCGATGGATACCAGAAAGACAAGGAGAGGGTACAAACCAATCATAAAGAGGAAACCCTGTAACAAGGTGGGAACGAAGAGCATGAGCTGATGGGGGAAGACAAGAACGCCAGACAGATGCGGGGTCAGGTGA